AAAATTACGGAAGCGAGCGCGAGCGACGCGCCCTCCGAGGCTGTCGTGGAAGCTTCGGCCGTCGCCCAGAAAGTTTTCTCGGGACGCAAAACGACGGGAACAAGCTTTCGGGCAGCCCGACGGGCCAGACCCAAGCCCAAACCTTCGACGATTCTTTATGAGAAGCTTTGGATAAGAAGCTTGAAAAGAAGCTTTATAAGAAGCTGTATAAGAAGCTTTAAAAGAATATGAAGCTTCATAAGAAGCTTTGTAAGACGCTTTATAAGAAGCTTTTTTCAATTCTTTCTCAGGAGTGATAACCTGGGACAATATGAAATCGGCCATCCACAGCCCAATTCCACAGATCTGGCAATTTTCCGCTTCTGACTGATAAAACGGCCCTTGCGGCCACTGGCCTGGTCCTCGGCCTTGATAAAACTGCCATCGGCTTTGATAAAATGGCCGCTGCGGCTGGCAAGCCTTGATAAAGTTGCCACTCTGGCAGCCCTTAATAAAAATGGCTTGGCCTGGCCGCTGATATCTCCTAAAACGGGACAATATGAAATCGGCCATCCGCAGCCCGAATCTAAAGCTGGTTTGTCCGCTTCTGGTTGATAAAACGGCCATTGCGGCCACTGGCCTGGTCCTCGCCCTTGATAATCTGGGCCGCCCGTGTTGCGACCGCGCCGGCGTCCAAGATCCCCCCGCTTTGCATCGCTCGGAAACTTGTAGCCCGTCCGGCCACTCCCCAGCCAAGCCCAAACCTTCGACGATTCTTCGCGTCGCGAAAAATGGCACGCGACGCGTCCGGGCCGGGTTTCTGCGAACCCTAAACCCTGAAAGGTTTGAGATGCGGGTGGTCAAGGGGTGGGGATGCCGCTTTCGCCGCGCGCCCCCACGACCCCCGGGGTCGAGGGCGCGCTTCATCTTGGAAACCCTAAACCCTAAACCCTAAACCCTAAACCCTAAACCCTAAATTCTCTCTTCAATGGAGATTTAAACCTTAATGTATCAGTGCTCCTGATTTGAGCCGCCCCCTTGGGCTCTTCTTCTCCCAGAAGACAATTCTGTCCTTTGGGAAGGGAAAGGTCTTAGGAAATGGCTTGGCTCTGTCCTTTGCCAGCTCCAAAGCCTTCTTCGACTCTGTCCAGCCATTGCTTCTTTTCTTCTCCAAATCACAAATCCCGCTGATAAATTGTTCAAAAATGCAATCCAGGCTTGACATGTAAAGATCTGGTCATTTTGCTCCTTTCTGGGCTTGGCCAGCTGCTGATAAACTGTTCATATGGCGCAATGCAAAAATGGACACCCAGGCTCCAAATGTAAAGATCTGGTCATTTAGCTTTTCTGGGCTTGGCCAGCCGCTGATAAACTGTTCCACCCAGGCTTGAAGTGTAAAAATCTGGTCGTTTTCCTCCTTTCTCGGCTTGGCCAGCCACTTGATAAATTGTTCATATGGCGCAATGTCAAAACGGCCAGCTCGGCTTGAAGTGTAAAGATCTGGTCATTTGGCTCCTGTCTGGGCTTGGCCAGCCGCTGATAAACTGCTCATATGGCGCAATGTCAAAACGGCCAGCTTGGCTTGAAATGTAAAGATCATCTGGCCATCGGGCTCCTTTCTGGGCTTGGCCAGCCGCTGATAAATTGTTCATACGGCGCAATGTCAAAAAGGCCAGCCTGGCTTGAAATGTAAAGATCTGGTCATTTGGCTCCTTTCCGGACTTGGCCAGCCGCTGATAAACTGCTAATTGCGCAATGTCAAAACGGCCAGCTTGGCTTGAAATGTAAAGATCTGGTCATTTGGCTCCTTTCCTGGCTTGGCCAGCCGCTGATAAACTGTTCATACGGCGCGATGCAAAAATAGCCGAAATCCTTGTTTGAAATGTAAGTTATTTGTCTCTCCTCTTTATCTAGAATCTAGGATCTTTTAAAATCTTGGGTCCTTCGTGCGGGGCCAGAAAAAAAGCAACCGGGCTTGCAATGGCTTCCAGCGTAAGCAACCGGGCTTCCAGAGTTGGGGAGTTTATCGCGCGCGACCCCCGTCTTGAAATTTGAGGAAACTAACAAACTCTCCTATGTTGTGGGTAACCAATCTGGGTGGGTGGGATAGCTAACGCAAAACTTTCTCAATCCATTTGATATACCCTCTAGACCCTAAACCCTAAATCTTCTCTTCAATGGAGATTTAAACCCTAATGTATCAGTGTTTCCGATTTGGTTCGCCCCCCCTTGAGCTCTTCTTCTCCCAGAAGAGGATTCCTTTTTTTGGGAAAAGAAAGGTCTTAGGAAATGCCTTGGCTCTGTCCCGGGCTGGCTCAAAAGCCTCTTCTTCGCTCTGTCCTGGGCCAGCTCCAAAAGCTGTTCTTAGCCGTCCCAGCCCTGCTCGAACCTCTTCTTTGGCCAGCCACTGATAAACTGTTCATACGGCGCAATGCAAAAAAAATGCAAAGATCTGGCCATTTAGCTCCTTCTACGCGTGGCAAGCCGCTGAAGAACTGTTCATATGGCGCAATGTAAAAAAGGCCATCCAGGCTTAAAATTTAAAGATCTGGTCCTTTTGCTCCTTCTGGGCTTGGCCAGCCGCTGATAAACTGTTCATATGGCGGAATGCAAAAATAGCCATCCAGGTTCAAAATGTAAAGATCTGGTCATTTGTCTCCTTTCTGGGCTTGGCCAGCCGCTGATAAACTGTCGCAATGCAAAAATGGCCATCCAAGCTCAAAATGTAAAGATCTGGTCGCCTAGCTCCTTTCTGGGTTCGCAAGCCATAAACTGCTCATATGGTGCAATACAAAAATTGCCATTCAAGCTTGAAATGTCGAGGCCTCTTTTCCGGGCTTCGCTAGCCGCTGATAAACTGTTCATACGGCGCAATGTAAAAATGGCCAGCCAAGCTCAAAATGTAAAGATCTGGTCATTTGGCTGCTTTCTGGGCTTGGCCAGCCGCTGATGACTTCTTCATATGGCGCAATTTAAAAAATGGCCATCCAAGCTTGAGAAGTCGAGATCTGGCCATTTGTTGCTGTTCGAAGAGCGTTTCAATTTCCTCTTGCGGAGCAAGATACAATTAGCAACCGGGCTTGCGATGACTTCCAGAGTTGGGGAGTTTATCACTCGCAACCCCCGTCTTGAAATTTGGAGAAACCGAAGAACTCGCCTATGTTGCGGGTAACCAATCTGGGTGGGTGGGAAAGCCAACAAAACTTCTCTCAATCCATTTGATATACCCTCTAGACCCTAAACCCTAAACCCTAAACTAGGGGGTCCACTCTCCGGCGGCCGGTAAGGCCGACGATGTAAACCCCCAACCGAAAGTGGGATGGCTACCGCGCAGCGAGCATATGCCAGGACTGCAATAGAACAAGCAAGCAATTGGTTGCCGGCCAGCCGCTAGGAGGTGGTTCGAGGTCAGTACTGACCTCTTTTATAGTATAGTTATACCCTAAGACCTGTCATGAAGCCTTAACGGAGGGCTTAACGAGGGGTCGTCTTCAGGCCACGATCTGGAGCTCGATTCCTTCAAAAACAGAAGCAGGGCGCACTTCCAAGCATGTTTGGTGCAAAAAAAGCGTGTTTTCTTGAAGTTTCTTGCGAAACAGCATGTTTCCTGCAAAGGAAGCTCCTGCCAGTAGTCATATGCTTGTCTCACGGGCTGAGCTGTCCAAAAAAAGGTTTCAGGCTCGATTCCCGGGTCTGCCCTCCTAAAAGGCAGCAGGCAGCCCAGGCAGACAGCAGCAGGCGCGGCAAGCAGAAGGCAAGGAGGCGGGCAAGCAGGCAGGCGGGCAGGCAGGCAGGCAGGCAAGCAGGCAGGCAGGCAGGCAGGCAGGCAGGCAGGCAAGCAGGCATGCAGGCACGCACGCAGGCAGGCAGGCAGGCAGGCAGGCAGGCAGGCAGGCAGGGCAGGCAGGGCAGGCAGGGCAGGCAGGGCAGGCAGGGCAGGCAGGGCAGGCAGGGCAGGCAGGGCAGGCAGGCCAGGCAGGCCAGGCAGGCCAGGCAGGCCAGGCAGGCCAGGCAGGCCAGGCAGGGCAGGCAGGGCAGGCAGGGCAGGCAGGGCAGGCAGGGCAGGCAGGGCAGGCAGGGCAGGCAGGGCAGGCAGGGCAGGCAGGGCAGGCAGTGCAGGCAGGGCAGGCAGGGCAGGCAGGGCAGGCAGGCAGGCAGGCAGGCCAGGCAGGCAGGCCAGGCAGGCAAGGCAGGCAACAGCAGGCAGGCAGAGGCAGGCAAGCAGGCAGGCAGGCAGGCAGGCAGGCAGGCAGGCAGGCAGGCAGGCAGGCAGGCAGCAGGCAGGCAGGCAGGCAGGCAGGCAGGCAGGCAGGCAGGCATCTTTAAGAAACTTGCTTGATTCTGCCAGTAGTCATACGCTTGTCTCAAAGACTCAGCCTGCATCCAAGCCCAAAGCGATGGAAGAGCTTTTGATGGGAAGGAAAAGCAAGGCAGGCCGCACCGTAAACCCTCCATTCTTGCTTGAAGCACGAGTTTAGGAGCAAAGGATGTTAAATCCTTGCAGAGGAGAAATCCATTGCTTGGGGGAAGAAACCGCCCCAGTCCTTTCCCCAAAACCTCCGACTTGCTCTCACAGCGCTGTTATAGCCTTGCAGGATAGTTTAGGAAGCCTAAACCCTAAAAGGCGGAGCGTGCAAAGGGTGGGAGCCGCCCTCTTGGCGCTGGGTGGGAAATGTCAGGCGGGGCGGCCGTTCAGGCCCCCGCTTTCAACCGCGCTCGATCGCTGAGCCCGAGCGGCAAGACTACTTAACTAAGACATGTCAAAGCTGCCGCAAAACTTACAACCAAACTCCTTCCACGCGCCGCCGAGCGCAAAACCCTAAACCCTAAACCCTAAACCCTAAACCCTAAACTTTTAGTGGCTCGCGCCAATGTGCGCCAACACAGCAAATTTTTGAAACGGTTGCTTCGGGGGCGCGGGCTTTGAGGTTTGGGGCTTCAGGTTTTCGTGTTTAAGGTTCGGGGTCGGCTTTAGGGTTTGGGGTTTTTAGGATTTTGCGGTTTTGCGTTTTGCGGCGCAGGGCTCGGCGCCGGGTCATTGTGGGGCCGGGCGACCCGCGCTTGGGAGAAGAGAAGTTCCGGTGGGCGGCGGCCATTGTTGCCAACAACGACGCCAAATACCAAATCAACAAGGACCGCGCCGAGGACTACAGCCGCGCGGCCGAGTCGCCGCTCCGCTGGTCTGTGGCCCTGGACGCGCCGTCCGCCGAGGTTCTGCAGACGCAGGCGCGGGGGGAGCGGGAGAAAAAGTTCAGGGCGCGAGGGGGGCTTCCCTGCGCGCGCAGGAGTGCGACAAGGCCGCGCGGGTCCGGTGGCTCCAGTATCACGACCGGGACACCGAGAACCTCTCCGGCATGCTGCCGCTAGCCGTCGGGATGCGCGTGGTCTACCCGGTCTACCCCGCCCGCAAGGTCTGGAAGCTGGACAGCTGCCGCTGGCCCCGGCCTACGCGATCACGGCCCACGGCAGCCAGGGCAAGACGCTGCCTGCGGCGCTAGTGGACTTCAACGTCGACAAGCGGACCGACGTGACCTTTAAGACCGTGGCTGCGAGCAGGGTCCGCTCCAGGGAGGACGTCTTGATCTTGAGGCGCGCGCGGGAAAGAGGGAAGGGGGGGGCGGGGGAAGGGAGGGAAACAAAAGCAGGTCGCTTCGCCGCAGGCCGTTCGAGCGCTGGCTCTACACCCGTGGCGCGCCGGGAGCCCGGCGCTCCTGCTGCAGCAACTGCGAGGCGAGGAGGTGAATTGGGAAGCCTTCAGGGAGGCGAAGGCGCCCTCCGCGGCGTGCGAGAAACGCAAAGAGGCCAAGACGCTGGACTACTTCTCCGATCGGCAGTGGGAGCGCGTCCGGGCCAACCGCTCGGCCATTTGCCTTGCCTGCGGCCCCGGCAAGGGCGAGCAGAAGGCGCTGAAGCGGAAGCTGCCCTCCGGCCTGGCGCGCTTGGACTGCCGCGGGTGTAAATTCCGGAAGCTGGAGGACGCTTTCCCACGGGCGCAGCTTCAGCAGGACGATTCTGAGGCGAAGCGCCGCTGTCTCAAGTGTTTGAAGGAAGTTGACATTTTGGAGTGCTCCGTCTGCGAAAGCACGAAGCAGATCTCCGAATTCAACAGCGCGATGGCGACCATGCCGTGGGCGGCGGTTTGCGCTGATTGCGCGGCCGACGTGAGAAGGCAGCCTAAGTGGGGCCGCGCCGGCTGGTTCACTTGCCGGACTTGCGACTTGTTCTTTCCGGGGGCCGGCGCTGCGGAGCACAACGTCCTCCCCTCGTCGGCCCGCAGCCAGCGCTGTTTGAATTGCGCTTCGCGCGGCTCTTGGGCTAAGGGCAAGAGCACATGCCGCAAATGCGGCGGCGCGTGGAGCGAGCCACGCGGGCAAGGGAGCGACAAGCGCCAAAGGCTTTGCCCAAAGTGCAGACCGAAAGCAAGTCGCGCGAAGCGCGCGTGATAAGTGATCGCGGCCGCTCGGGGCAAAAAGCTAGCTCGAGGTGCCCGGGGGGAGAGGGCGAGCGGGGGGAAGGGAGAGCGTGACGGAGAAGGTCTGAGCGATTTTTCGTGGGGCCTTGAGCCGCGGTCCTGGCTCGACGCGCGCGGGCTCAAGGGGGCTCCAGGGACGCTCTCGCTCTCTTCCGCGCCCGAACTACTCAGGACTCGGGAGCCGCAAGCTGCGAGCTTGCTCGCGTTCGCCTTTCCCGCTCGTCGGCGTCAGGAGCTGCACTGCTGGGGAAGCGCCCCGGAGCTCTGGCGCAAATCCTAAAACTTGAAAATCGAAATCCTTAGCCCCCGAATCCAAAACCCTGAGCGCGAAACCAAAAAAACCCCGAGCCCCAAATCCTCAAAGTTCAGGGTTTGGGGTTCGCGGGACTCGGCGTTTGGGATTTCGGGCGCCCGGGGTTTAGGGCTTAGGATTTTTGAGGTTTGGGGCGCGGGGCTCAGGATTTCGAAGGTTCGGGGTTTAGGATTCCCAAGGCGCCCGTAGACCATTTCATCGCCCGTAGACCATTTTATCGCCCCCAATTGCCGTTTTATCGCCCCCAATGGCCGTTTTATCAAGCGAAGGCAGCCCGTAGACCATTTTATCAGGCAAGCCCGTAAACCATTTTATCACGCCCGTAGACCATTTTAGCGCCCCCAATGGCCGTTTTATAAGGCAGCCCGTAGACCATTTTATCGCCCGTAGACCATCTTATCTAAAAGAGACCAGGGCGCACCCCCCCTATAGAGCAAAGTGATTCGCTGTTTTCGCTCTCCCTGGGATTCGAAGGCCTTCCTGTTGGGCGCCAAGCTGTGTTGGCGAACCCTAAACAGGCGAGCATGCCTTTGGCCATATACATGGGCATGCGAGCCTCCGGGCTCGAGGTCAAGCCGAGACGCCGTTGCAAACCTGAGGGCCTGCTAGGGTCAAGCCTAGCTGGACAACCGCTGTGCGGCTCTGCAAGTGGCACGACGACCCACACCCTTTGGCGCAGCCAATATAGGATTACCCTAAAGCCTGCACCATTTGGCTCCGGGGGTCGCTTTGTGCGCGGCTGATAACTTTTGCATACGGGTAATAGCGGGGCCTGCCCCGGCTGGGGGGGGGTACACGGCGGGCCGCTTCTTGCGCCGCTGATAACTTTTGCATACGGGTAATATGGGGACCTGCCCCGGATGGGGGGGGGTGTACGCCAAGCGCAAGAAAGGAGCCTTCCCTTCTTGCGCTGTGTAACACGGGGGGCTTGCCCCAGCTGCATTCAGACAAAGCGGCGAAGCGTGCGCGCAGGGCACCCCCACGCAAGCGCAGCGCCTGACACGCTCAGTTCTGCGGCTTGCTTGCGCGCTTAGCCCGCGCGTGTTTGGGCTGCCGATCACCTCCACGCTTTGCAGCGTGACCCACAGAAGCAACACCTTGCGGGCGCTGAGGATATGTAGATGCCGTCTACATGGCGCTTGCCGCCGCAGCCCACGCCCGGACGGCGTCTACGCCTTGGCGGCCTGCGCAAGCCTGGGCAACTCCACGCGCTCTGTCGTCCGCCCGCCGCGCGGACGCTGAGGAGTATGTAGACGCCATCCACATGGCGCTTGCCGCCACAGCCTGCGCCCAGGCCATCGCAGCGCGCAACGCGCTCGCGTGGAACCTGCGGCCTACGCAAGCTGGGCAACGCGAAAAAGGACCAGCGCTTCGCAGCGCGACCCATGACCCACAGAAGCAACACCTTGCGGGCGCTGAGGATTATGTAGACGCCGTCTACATGGCGCTTGCCGCCGCAGCCCACGCCCGGCAAACGCAGCAGGATCAGGTAGACGGCGTCTACGCCTGGGCGGCCTGCGCAAGCCTGGGCAACTCCACGCGCTCTGTCGTCCGCCCGCCGTGCGGACGCTGAGGATTATGTAGACGCCGTCTACATGGTACTTGCCGCCGCAGCCCGCACCCAGGCCAGCGCAGCGCGCAACGCGCTCGCGTGGACCCTGCGGCCTACGCAAGCTGGGCAACTCGAAAAAGGACCCGCGCTTCGCAGCGCGACCCACGCCTGCGCAGGCTAGAAGTTTAGCAAGGCAGGCAGCTGGCCGCCCAGCTGCTTCAGACAGCGCCACGTTGGCATGGAACCCGTTCAAGGGTTCCACCTCGAATGGAACCCTAAACCCTAAAAGTCTTTACCTTGGGTGGCTGGGGCGGGCGAACTTGGCAACGCGAAGCGAGCGGCTTGGGGGATTTTATCCCCAAGCGAGCAACCACATCTGCACACCCTAAACCCTAAACCCTAAACCCGCCCGCCAACCCTCCTGCGGACGCAGGTTAGGCGGGCGACGCCGAGCGAAGCAGCGAGGCCACGCAAGCGGAGCTTTACGCGAAGCTTGCTGACCCCAGCCCTGAGCGGGGTCGCCAAGCTGTGTCGCCAAGCTCTGTTACTGAGAATGCAGACATCGAATGTCTGTATATTGTATAACCCTAAACCCCTCGGGTTTTCCGGCTCGGACGGGGCCACCTACTTAGGAGCTTTGGCCTTCTGTCCCGGGAGCTAAAGTCTGTCCCGGGGCCCGCGATTTGTCCTGGGCGGAGCTTTCCGGAGCCTTCCGGAGGCTTGGCCGGAGGCGCCCGGAGGCTTGGGGCCTTCCCGGGAGGCTCCCCGGGACTTTCCAGGCTTCCCGGAGGGGCTCTGGCCCGTCGTCTCGCGCTCAACTGCGATGTGTTTGATGAGCGCTCGCAGCGCGTGCCCCGCGCGCCAAACCTAAAGCCGAAAGAGCCTCGAGCTTCCGCGGGCCCGCCGGCTCTTGTCTCAGCTTTGACTTCTTCGGAGCCCCTGAGATTCTACTAGGGCAATAGCGAAATCTAGCTGGCGGAGTAACTCCGGCGCGTGTCCCGCGCGCCAAACCTAAAGCCGAAAGAGCCGGAGCCTGACGGAGGCCCGGCGTTCGCGCGGAACTTCCGCGGCTCTGCGTCGCCCCGCGCTCAACTACGATGTGTTTGAGCGCTCGCAGCGCGTGCCCCGCGCGCCAAACTTAAAGCCGAAAGAGAGCCTCGAGGAACACTTCCGCGGGTCCGCCGGCTCTTGTCTCCCAGCTCCGAAAGCTTCCCGGAGCTTCTTGGGGCTTCCCGGAGCTCCCCGGCGCCAAGCCTAAAAGCGCGCGCCCCGCGCGCGAAACCCGAAGTTTAAGAGCCGCGAGCTTTGCCGCGCGTCCCACGCGCAAAACCTGGAGCCGAAGAAGCTGCGAGCTTGTCCGGAAGCCGCGCGCCGGCCCGGCGTTCGCGCGGAACTTCCGTCGTCTCGCGCTCAACTGCGATGTGTTTGAGCGCTCGCAGCGCGTGCCCCGCGCGCCAAACCTAAAGCCGAAAGAGTCTCGAGGAAAACTTTCCGCGGGGCCGGCTCTTGTCTCAGCTTTCCGGGCTTCTTCGGAGCCCCTGAGATTCTAGGGAAAATCTAGCTGCCAGCCAGCGACCAACAGGCGTATGGTCGTCCGAGGAAATCGCCAGCTCTTGTCTCAGCTTCGGAGCCCCTGACACTTCAGGGAAATTGCGAAATCTAGCAAAGACGTCGACTTGCCTCCATGCGCGTTTGCTTGATTCTTTTTTTAAAGCCCGCCCGGCGTCTGAGGGCAAACCCTAAACCCTAAGCGAGTAGTGATAGGGCGGCCTTGGGGTGGGCAAGTCCACGGCCTATGGATGTGCGCGCAGCGATGAGGGGCGCCGTGAAAGCTATCCAACAGGCGCCCCGTTAAAGAGCGCGCGCATCCCTTCGGCTCAAACCCTAAACCCTAAACCCTAAATCTTCTCTTCAATGAAGATTTAAACCTTAATGTATCAGTGCTCCTGATTTGAGCCGCCCCCTTGGGCTCTTCTTCTCCCAGAAGACAAGTCTGTCCTTTCGGGAAGGGAAAGGTCTTAGGAAATGGCTTCGCTCTGTCCTTTGCCAGCTCCAAAGCCGTCTTCGACTCTGTCTTGGCCCAGCTTAAAGCCGTTGCTTCTTTTCTTCTCCAAATCCCAAATCCGGGCTTGGCCCTGATAAACTGTTCATATGTGCCAGAAATGTAAAGATCTTGTCATTTTGCTCCTTTCTGCTTTGATAAACTGTTCTCAGGCTCCAATCGTAAAGATCTGGCCATTTGTCTTCTTTCTGGGCTTGGCCAGCCGCTGATAAACTGTTCATATGGCGCAATACAAAAATAGATGACGAGTGGCCCGGAAGCATAGAGGCAAGTTGATGCAGGTGAGGTAACTCTCGCAAAGTTAGCATGAGGAGTTGGCAGGCGAAGCAATTCTCAAAAAGTTGGCATGAGAAGCTGGCAGGTTAAGTAACTCTCGAATAGTTGGCTGGCAAAGTTGGCGGGTGAAGTAATTCTCGCAAAGTTGACATGAGTAGTTGGCAGGCGAAGTAACTCAAGAGAAAAGTTGGCATGAGAAGTTGGCAGGTGAAATAACTCTCAAAGAGTTGGCATGAGAAGTTGGCAGGTGACGTAACTCTCGAAAAGTTGGCGTGAGAAGCTGGCAGGTGAAGTAATTCTCGAAAAGTTGGCACGAGAAGATGGCGCGTGAAGTAACTCTCGAAAAGTTGGCGCGAGAAGCCGGCAGGTGAAGTAACTTTCGAAAAGTTAGCATGAGAAGTTGGCAGGCGAAGTAATTCTCGAAAAGTTGGCGCGACAAGTTGGCAGGCGAAGTAACTCTCGAAAAGTTGGCAGGCGATGTTGGCAGGTGAAGTACCTCTCGAAAAGTTGGCATGAGAAGCTGGCAGGTGAAGTAATTTTTCGAAAAGTTGCCACGAGAGGTTGGCAGATAAAGTATTTCTCGAAAGTTGGCATGAGAAGTTGGCAGGTGAAGTAATTCTCGAAAAGTTGGCAGGTGAAGTTGCCACGAGAGGTTGGCAGGTAAAGTATTTCTCGAAAAGTTGGCATGAGAAGTTGGCAGGTAAAGTAATTCTCGAAAAGTTGGCATGAGAAGCTCGCAGGTGTAGTTACTCTCGAAAAGTTGGCATGATA